TCTAATTTAGGGTCATAGTAATTTCATAATTTTTGTAATTAGATATTTGGCTTAATTTTACAATTTTAGACTAATTTAGGAATTTAATATAGGTTTTTTAATTAAAGAAAAGAAAAAGAAAGAAAAAAAAACAAGAAAAAGAACAAAAGAAAAGGAAATAGTTGGTTAACTAAAAGAAGGGGTTTTTAATTGAATTTGGGTTGTTTCCAAACCCAAAATTAACCTCAAACCCGTTCCCAAACCCAGGCCCAAAATAGCCACCCGGTCCAGACCCCATCTGAAGCCAAACGACACCGTATCTCTTAGTTTTGATCTCAGTCGTTGATCACTTTGGTTCTAACGGCTGGGAACTAATTAATCCTTTACTATATTATTGTCCGAACGAGTCCACCCCCCCCCCCATTTCCCTTCTCATTTTGTCTCTCTCACCTACAGAGACCAAAACCTAGCCGCCTTCACTCCCTCACCGGCTCCGCCGTGGTCCGCCGACCGGAAATCGCCTCACGGCGGCGGATCACCTCCAACCACCACCAAATCAACACCCCATAACCCCCGTCCCTTCCTCTTTCCAATCTCCTAACCATTTTCCTCAAATCTTTATCAAACCCTTCGAATTTCAAATCTAAGACCGGAATCCCCAAAACCCTAAATCACCCAAAGGCCACCAAATTCACACCCTACAATCTTCACACCCCTCTGAACCCTAAACTACCATTAATCCCCTTCGAATTAGCCTTAATTTCCTTGAATTTTGAATCTGAAGTCCCAGGAACCCTAACCTTCTTTTACTTCCAAATTTTCGGCAGTTTTTTGGGCTTTTGAACCCAAGACTTCCATGAATCCATTGCTCTTGTTAAGAGCAGTTGATTGATGGTTGTCTAAAGTTCATTTGTACCCCGAAAATTTGGGTCAGAATTCGAAGACGGTCTAGTTTTATTGTTGAAAGAAATAAGCAATAGGTAATCTCTTGTAACTTTTTCTTTAGTTTTCTTTTGGTTTTGGCCTTTTCCCCTTTTTGTTAATTGCCTTTGATTAGCCGTGTGATTTAGTTTATCTTTTCTTTTCTTCCAACTATTTAGCTTCATTAATTGCATGATTAGATTTCATCATTAGGAATTTAATTTGCCCAGTTTTAGCATGTTTTGTTTCTAAAAACCCTTTTTGTTTTGTTTCTTTTTTCTTTCATGTTTATTCTTCTTGCAAGTTTGTTCTCAGTATCTATTAGTTTAATTAGGATAGGGTTAATGGTTAATTAATTGCCTATTTCAGCTAATTTCGGGTTGATTTAGCTTTAGCCTGATTCAGCCTAGTCTTAGTTAAAATAGGTTAATATTGATTTCTGATGGTTCTTTGCACAAAGCATGCTGAATCTCATTGGTTGTTTGAATCTGAGTGTACATGTTTTGATTGCTTAGGATTAACTGATTTTAAATTTAGGTTTGAACCTCTGAGCAGCAATTTAAACTTCAGTTTAATTTCAGAAAATGAAATGCAATACCACTAGGCAACCTAATCACTTAGCTGAAGGTCCTAAAAATAGTTGTAATTAATTTGAAACCAGAACATAGGACAAAGCTGAAATAGTCAGAAATATAAAGGGTAAAACTATACTTTTACATAGGCTAATATCAGAATGTTCTAGATTTTGCACAGTTGTCCCCATCCTTAGCATAGAAATGTTGATATTGGATAAGAAAACAGACAGCTAAAAAAGATGTTGTACTATTCTGAAGTTTCGAACTTAGGTCAGAATATTCCCTTTTTGATGCCTTTTTTGTGCACTCTATAAAAGGAAAATATTTCCTCACTCACTCAGAGACATTCAGCATCATTCTCTGCACAAAAGTTTTCTGAAACAAACATCAGATTTCAGAAATTCTAGAAAATATTCAAAACTTCTTATTTCTGGTTTTCACAAGCTGAGAAACATGGTTTGAAGTGGAGGATTTTTCTGGTTCCTTTAGCTGGGATTTCTGATTTCAAAGCTGTTTTAATTTGGTTTAAATATCTAGGGTTTTCTTACTGCTGGTTCTGCTGCTGTATTAAGCTTCAAATAGCTTTGGTTTTCTTGACCTTACTTGGTCTAGTTTTTCTTTGTTGTTTCAGGTATGTCTTGAACTTTGAAAGTGCAGAAAAAATGAAGTTGTAGCTCGCTGCTTGTTAAATGAAAATGCATGTTCTTCATTTCGAATTGCCACCTAAAAATGGTCATCTTGTAACTTTTCTGCTGTTTTCTCTTTTATTATTAAACATGTCATTATTGTTAGGATAGTATTCATAACCTAAAAGTTCAAATCAAGAGATGTATTGTATTGAGCATTTCATTAAACACTTGAATGTATAAGTGGACTCACAGGCTGTGTTTGTAAATCCAGCCTATACTTTGTGCAATATTTTGACGCTAGATTGCAACTAATGTATCTAATTAGTGGTTTTTAAGTGTATATGTTCATTATACTGATTTCATCACAGCATGAGTTAGTATACGTTAAAATTTAAGGTTCAGCTCCTGTTAGTAGCATGTCTTAAAGTAGTTATTTTCTAGGAATTTTGATGTTTTCGCATAAGCTTTAAGAAGAGATTTTGAAAATTTTGGTCTGGGCTTGGCAAAGGCCCAGGCAAGGTAGCCTGGTAGACCTCCGGTTGGGCTATCTCCATTTGAACTCATTTTTTTTGTCTTTGGGCTCAACATCAGGCCCAAACGACCTTGAGCTCCTGTTTTCTTTATTCAGAATAATAAATGGGTTCCTTGTCCGGGAACTGGGCTGGAAATCAGCCCAATTAAAGGACCACACCATGGTAAGCCAGCCACGCCCTTGGTCCCCTGATTATGCATTAGGCTCAATTTTGAGCCCAGTTGATGTTGATTGTTATCTATTGACCAGTCGACGGGCTGTTGTTGGTCCAATCTATCCTTTAATAACCAAGGATTTCCTTATGTTCAACCAAAATCTATCTAAATAGTTGGAGGCCCAGTAAGTCCCCCAAGCTTTTCTTACAATTAGTAGTTACATATTTTAAGTTCAACCATTTGTAAATGAGAGCATCCTTAGGCTTAATCAATTATGACTTCTAAAAATGGTTTAAAATGTATTTAGGTGTGCCATCCATAATTAAATCATCCATGGCCCTCACAAATTAGATTAAGAGCTGAACATTTGTAGCTTGTTGTGGTTAAATACAATTCCTTTAAAGAGAAAATGAATCAAGGTGTGACATCCATAATTAGAATATCCATGGCCCTAAAAAATATTGTAACTTAGATATTAAATATGAATCTTCATAGTTTGCTTTAGGCGTGTTACATCAAATTATCATGGCTACGGGTACGGTTTCCGTGACGTAGTTGTGATTTGTAATTGCTAAAATCCGGGTGTGCATTTCATGTGACCCGACTTCAATTTCCAACAATGATAAATAAAACGTGTCGCGGACCGTGGGTGCATTTCATGTAGCGTGGTTTAAGATATGTTTTAAATAACGTTGAATTTTTCTAAAAACAGTAAAAGCGGTTAGAAAGTCGTAAAAAATGCACATAGGTTTAAAATGCGTAATTCATCAGATAATAGGCCAATATTAATAGTTTAAGCGACCGTGCTAGAACCACGGAACCCGGGAATGCCTAACACCTTCTCCCCGGTTAACAGAATTCCTTACTTAGAATTTCTGGTTTCGTAGACTTTTAAATAAATTCGAAATTTCCTCGATTTGGGATTTCAAAATAAACCGGTGACTTGGGATACCAAATGAACTATCCCAAGTGGCGACTCTGATAAATTAAATAAAATAATCCCATTTCGAATAATGTCACTTTAATTGAAAAAACTCCCATATACCCTCTCGGGGTGGTAAAAATGAGGTGTGATAGCTCTGGCGACTCTGCTGGGGATCATAACCCAGAACTTTTGGTTTAGGGTTTAAGAATTCGAGCTTAGAATAATTGTTATGCTTGGCTTTATTTATTATCTGATTTTTACATGTTTGAGCCTAATGTGCTAAATGCTGCTTTTTACCGCTTTGATATTGTTTGAACTGTATAAAAATTGTTTTGAAACCCTCTCCTCTCTGAGTCTTCTAAATCATTTGGAAATTGTGCACTTCGTGTAACTTCTTTTCGGACAAGTTGCAAAGCCGGTGAAGCTTCTGTATTCCCGGTACGCTGGCCCCCCCCCCCCGGCTCGAGCTGTCCGCTCGGGTAAGCCAGGTCTAGAACAATACACCCAGGTTTTTAAACCTAGTATAACATAGCCTCATGCCGGATCCCTAGTAGGAACGCTTGTTTGCATCACGTGCATTTGACTTTGGGGACTCAACACAGGGGTTGGGTCCGTCTAGGACAGGTGTACCCGAAATCAAAAAGACCATCCTGATGCATTTTACTTGCTACTTGTACATTTATTTGCTTCAGATTGCATGTTGACTGGCTTCTAGAATAAGGGAGAAAAATTGGAAAAATCAAATTGAGGCATGAGAGAGATAATTACCCGTCTTTAGAAAATCTGGTGTCCAAAAAGTACCGAAACTTTGCCGAAATTTTGAAAAAAAAATAAAGAGAAAAGGAAAATTGTTTCAAAAAATATTTGGTGTTGTTTTCTGTTACGTCAAAACTTCCCAAACTACGCAAGTTTGATTCTCACCAGATGTGGGATACGTAGGCAACCTTCACCGGGTCCAACTCCATTTTTGCAAAAAAATAACCCAAAAATATGAAATGTTGTTATTTTGTCATAAATAAAATTAGGTGATGCCGTTCTTGTCTAAATAGCCCAAAATGTCCCCAAAAGCGGCGCCGGAAGAACTACTTTGCAAGAATAGCCACCTATGGTCATTTTTCAAATTCTTTGCCGATTAGCAAACACGGCCCTAAAATCTTGTTTCCTGAGGTGCTGAAGGGTCGTATTTGCAAAGGTGTTTTTGTTTTGAATTGCAATTTTGAAAAATTGATAATCTTCTCTTGAGTCAAAATAAATCATGGTCTTTTAACCGATCACTTTAAATAAATGTGCAGGATGAGCACTATTGAAAATGAACCCTTCACAATCCTCGAGAAAATCCCGTTAGAACTCCATATGTGGTGGAATGACTTAGGGGAAGTTAGCAGAGGTACTGCGATAAAAGCTTTGGGCGGTCTCATTGGTCTTTTGAAGATTAAACCGAGGTTGGATATAATTGAGGCTTTAGTACCTTTTTGGGACCCGACGCATAATGTGTTCCATATCTTTGATTTTGTGCTAACCCCTACGCTTGAGGAAATAGCGGGCTATGCTGGTTTTAGTGGGAATCTCAGAAACTGGTACCCAGTGGCACCAAGAGTGGTGACTCCTCACAAGTTTCTGGACCTTCTAAGTATCAGTTGGGAACTCAAAGTTGGAAATTTGGCTGATGGATTTTGCACATTCTACTTCTTGTACCGTCGTTATGGGGATCCCCACGGTTTTGAGGCTCCAGATACTGGTCTAACTCATTCAGGGAACAAAGGTAAATGGGAAGCACGTTGGGGACTGGCTTTTATAGTGGCATTCATGGGCATCTTAATCTGCCCAAGAAAGGATGGACATATAGAGTTGGGGCTCGTGGGAACGGCCGACTTCATGATTAAAAAGGCTAATGGCACCATTGTACCGATGATCCTAGCAGAGATTTATCGAGCTCTAACTGTTTGCCGAGCAGGGGGAAATTTTTTTGAGGGTTGCAACATGCTTTTACAACTTTGGATGGAAGAACACCTTTGCCATCATCCGGGGTACATGAACTATGGTATGACCGGTCTTAACTGCATTGAAGAACATGAAAACCGGATAGAGGGTCATGAGTTTTCGGAAGGTACGGAGGCATGGTTCGCACATTTGAGTTCCTTGACTGCAAATAAAATTGAGTGGACATTCGGTTGGCTCCCGGTCACTAAAGTCATTTATATGTCGGCCGAAGCGTGCTTTCTTCTATTAATGGGTCTCCAGAGCATTCAGCCATATGCTCCACACACGGTTCTGCGCCAGCTAGGCAGATACCAAACTATCCCTCATGATGAAGATTTGAGTCGACAAGTCATTGAACTAGGCCCAAAAGCTGCATTCCCGGAAGAAAAGGTTCGACAGATTTGGCATCAGTGTAGGTTCCTGGAGCCAAAGACTCGGGTACGGGATTTGTCCAAAGGCGAGTTAGAGCCTAGTTACACGACCTGGTATGGTAAAAGGTTTCAAGTACATCAAGAGCCCGAACGGCCTTCCAAAAGGCCCCATGTCCAACAATTCGATGATGGGGCACAAGAGCAAAGGGATTGGTTGGCAAAAGAGACAAGCTACAGGGCCACGATAAGCAAATTGGAGGGGCAAATCAAAGATCTTAAATTTGACTAGTAGTGTACAGGCTGCTGCTGATGAAGGGGAGAAGAAGAAGTTGGCCCAAGAAAACAAAGCCCTTCGAGCCCAGATCCAAAAAATGAAGGTAGCTGCTGAGATTCAGGAAAGGAGCCGAACGGATGAAAGACTCATAAACGGTCTTAGGAGGAAGATATCTGAGTACGAGGATGATTTGGAAAAATGCGAGGGTAGTTTGGCAAGAGCCCGGGCACAGTTGGAGAAGAACGTAGAAGGACGGGCAGAGTTTGTCCGGCAATTGAAAAGGAAATATGATGGAGAAGTCACAAACCTGAAGAAAAAGCTAACTACCTCCGAGAATAAGATGGCCAAACAAACAATGAACTTTAAAGCCGAGAGGGAACATTGTTATGCACTAATGTCTCAGCTAGAAGAAGATATGCAATAGTTGCAGGGTCAAAGCTATCATGACACCCAAGTGCTAGAAGCTAGTTCTCAACAAATCAAATGTTTGCTCCAAGAGAAAGGCATCATTAGGGAAAGGGTTAGAGCAATTGCCGACTACATCGTCATGAAATGCCGTGAATGTGAGGACATGACTGAAACCACCTTCTTCGCTGCAGTGATGACCTTTGTTTGCCAAATAATGAATGACCTGGATCGTCTCCTAGGAGATCTTGCATATAGGCCCATGGCGAGACCGACTGATGTCCCACGGGCCCCTGGAGCAGTTTTAAGCACTTAGTGTATTCTTAATTTTCGTTTCGAGTCTGTATTTCAGTTTCCAGTTCTAGAGTCTGTTTAAGATGTTTTTAGTTTTTCAATCCTAGAGAAAGTATGATTGAGTCTTTTCTAACCAGAGAAAATTAGACTAGTTTTTATTTTAATGAAATTTTACGAAAAACCACAAATATGTTATATTTCCTTATATTTGCACCATTTATTCCTTGAAACATACGTGATTGATCTGATCCACGCCAGCGGCATCGTCGTTGTACCCCCGCTAGCACATCCCACATCGGATACGATTCATGATTTTTAAACCCAATTCCCAAAATATAAAAATAAAAAATAAATAAAAAGGAGAGAAGAGAGAGAGAGATGGAGAGAGGAGAGAGAAGAACAAGAAAAAGAGGAAAAACAAGAATATAAAGAGAAAACAATGATAAAGGTGCAAAAGAAAGCAAAAAAAGTGAAAAGCGCCAAAAGAAAAGGAAAATCGGGGAGATAAACAAAACGCCGGAGGAGACAACGCACACCGTCGCAAAATATGTAGAAACACATTAAACTGTATAGGTGCATTCACATCCCCCAATGTGCAATTCCCTGTGTGTGTAATTGCTCTCAAAACTCAATCGGTTTTTTTATGTCTGCTGTCGAGTAGGTTTGTTTTTAAGGTGGGTTGGTTTTTGCGTAACCTCGGTTCCACACCCCTACATTACAAAAGATCCACGGGAAGTTGTCGAAATTGTCGTCAGAAAAGTCATCTACCCAACAATTCCCATCTCAAGTGGATAGGCCGATATCGGCTATCCCAAACATTTCAGGAGTCAGCAGCCGCTGAACGAGAATAGGGTACTTACGCCTCCGCATTGTTGGAATGTGGGACGCTTGGTCCACGGGTAGAGAGTCGCCTAGTCAATACCTGGTTATCCCGAGGCTACTTCCCAGAGCAAGTGGAAACTCTTCCAACATACCAATAAATTTACCCAAACACACCCACTCGGATATCCTACTATCTCAGCCCACTTTATCGGAACGCCTCTGAGGTTCGCCCCTAGGCATTGATTTCAGGAAATGGGCCATCTAAACATATTCACCGCACACCAACCTCCGCTACGGCACACAACCACTTTTCCCAAGGGCCAAGCTTTGAATCCATCATCTTTTACTTTCCAAGTACACCTTATACCATCATACACGGCCCATTTCACCACCAATTCTTACCCCAACAACCTCGGTATGAGTTTACTGCGGGACAAGAGAAAGCTGCAAAGAACCCCGAGCAAGAGGAAGTCACTCGGAAAATGAGAAGCATGGAACAAAGCCTCAAGAATATACAAGGTTTAAGTGGCCAGAAGAGCGTATCCTACGCTGATTTATGTATGTTACTGCATGTTCACCTACCTATTGGTTTTAAGACTCCCAAGTTCGAAAAGTATGACGGACATGGGGACCCCATAGCCCACCTCAAAAGGTATTGCAATCAATTAAGAGGGGCAGGTGGAAAAGAAGAACTCCTAATGGCTTATTTCGGAGAAAGTCTAGTTGAAATCCCATCCGAGTGGTATATGGATCAAGACATATCTCGCTGGCACATATGGGATGATTTGGATCGAGATTTTGTCAGGCAATTTCAGTACAACATAGACATAGCTCCTGACAGAAATTCTCTATCTAATCTCAAAAAGAAGTCTTCGGAGAGTTTCCGAGAATATGCTGTCAAGTGGCACGAACAAGCTGCCAGGGTGAAATCCCCGATGGATGAGACCGAGATGGTAAGTGTTTTCCTATAAGCCCAAGAGGCTGACTACTTCCAGAACATGATGTCTACAATGGGAAAGTCGTTTGCTGAGGCTATCAAAATTGGGGAGATGGTCAAAAATGGTTTGAAGACAGGCCGCATATTGAGCCAGTCTGCTATAAGAGCTACGTCACAAGCAATCCAGAGCGGGTCAGGAGGTGTAGCAAACAGAAAGAAGAAAGAAGAAGTGGCGATAGTGGCTTCAAGTCTGAGAAACACCCGTCAAACCCCGATGTTCTCCTCCAAACACCCGGAACATTACTAT